CACTGAGGCTAAGATCACTCAGTCTTAATATTAAAACAGAGATTTCTTCTGATGTACTTGTATTGATTTTTTAAGTGTGCTTTCAATGTTTTCTACTTTTACTAATACAAGAGGAACATTCTTAAAACTATACACATTTTACCGGAAGATTATACACATAGTTAGCATAGTCAGGTTACAGGCTATGATAAAGCAGATGTTTTAAGAAGCAAAAAATGATTATGTAAATGCCATAATCCCAAGACAGACAGACTAAGTTCTTAAAACCCTAAACCAAATGGATATTGTTTACAGTGACCTCAAAAGTAGTATTGAATTCTATCAAACCTGAGTCGCAATGCCCTGATTACTTTTTTTTTTGCACATGAAAATGTTACATGTATCAGGTGGACATCTGATAACATCATGTGGAATGTCACCTTCACATGTAATATCATCAATTAATTAATATAGCTTCATTAAAAATAAGAGCCACATAATGAGAACTTAGAAACTTTGTTTAAAAATATTATTGAATGCCTAACAGATACAGCTTGATAACTGCTAAAACTACTGCTTATTTTCCAGAAAGTTCATCCTTAACCTTCTAAAGTTGCAGCATAAAAGATCAAGTCAGGGACAGATGTGTTACATCATTTCCATTCTTAAAAAACACAGAGCCAAAAGGCTACTAACAATAAAACACCAAAAAGGCAAGTCATTTAAGAATCTATTTGTCCAAGCAATTAAAATACAAACACATTTAGATAAGGATATTTCCCTAGGAGAGTGTTGTGGTATTACATAAAGCATAGGCTTTAACTAAATATTCACGTATATTCTCATTTTGACTGCTTCTACATATTAAAAGCCTGAGTATTGTTTTCCAACAGAGTCATTAATTGGCTTACTATCTTAAACAATAAAATCTACAACTCCAGTAAAACTTAAAAATCTTAAAATCAATCCCATGCTGCTTCCATCCTCTAGAAAGTATGTGTAGTTATGTTTCTATCTGCTTATCTACAATAGGACAGAGAATCAATGACATAGATTCTGCTCAAGTATCACAACTTAGTTTCTAAACTCATTCACATGAGAATGCTGGAAAACATCTAATTTATATAATAAAACTCATCATCAATACTACCATATCCCTATTTTTCTATATTGTAAGCATATTTTTCAAGATAAGGTAAAAATTGGAAATAAATGTTAACCTTAACTTCTCAAGTCCACAATGGAATTTTCAGACCCTTAAAATTAGAAACTCATCCCCATTCCTTGTAATGATACCTACATTCAATCATTTAGACAATATGCCACATTAAATGACTCGCTGAGACCTCATGAAAAACCTGCAACCACCACATTTTTAAATTGTACTGCCTCTCAGTAGTTCCTCCTTTGTTTTCTTTTTAACATAGATCTTCTTTAGCACAGTTCAAATGCGAAATCATGACAGCAGTTCACACTGATTGTCCTTTCATGATTCCACATAACACCAAAACGAGACAAAAGAAAGAAAGAATAAGAAGCTATAACTCTTTCTGAGAAAGGGTAAGCACTTGTAATGCCTTCACATCCTCTCCTATCTATCACAAAACGTCCAACAGAATAAAGGGAAATCAAAACAAAAGGATGCAGATTTCACTCATTCATGTCTTAGTACCCCCTCAAAGATGCTTGAGACTTCATCAAAATCCAAAATACTATATTTTACTTTAGACAGTTTCTTCATTAACTCAGGCAAACATTCATCTCATAAAATATACTCCACTGGCTGGCCATATAACATGAGAAATTTTGTTCACCACACTCTGTCCAATAAAATTACACTGACTTTAACCACAATGCCACTAAAAGAAATGAGACAGAAACACAAAACTTAAAACACAGTCTTGGGAATAACTTTTTTCTTGTAACCATTTCCAAATCCTTCTGAGTCTGATAACCTAGGCAAGAATGGTAGCACAGAGCTCAAGAAAGAGCAATGGTATCTCTCCAAGGATTATCTAAGAATTCAAATAAAAAAGTAGCTGGTTCCTTCCATTTATTTTATTAGTTCTTCTACTAGGGCAAGTGCTGCTGCTTTTCTGCAGTTTGAGTAATATTCGTAATCATTTCTCACAATTCTTCTTTATAACATCTAAACAATCTTAATTCTATCCTTAAAAGTCCATTTCAGAAGCCATGGCCTCAGAATATATTCCTTTGGTTGGTAAAACTTCATGCGCCATATGAAAGAAAGAAGGAAAGAATTCTAGGAGAAGGTGAGACCCCAGAATTCTACACAGCAGCTGGCCTATGATAACCATTCATCTCAGGGACACTGGTCTGCCTTCCACGTGTATTTGATGGACTCTCTATAGACGCTTTGCCTGATGGGATCCATAGCTTCTGAAAACTGTAGAGATGAGAGTCATATGCTTATTTTAAAAAATGAGGGGAGTGGGGAAAACCTAGACTTTCAAACATTACATTTTAGATAGTTGACCACTTTCGGTCTAATATTCTATATACAGCCTACTAGTAATAATGAAAATGAACATGGTATCCAACCGATATAGCATAAAATATTCTGATAATCGTATCTACGATTTTTATAATTATGTAAAATAAGGCAGGGGTCTTAGGTTGAAAACACATGCCATCTGCATATAAATTAGTCTATTAATTCTATACTTGGCACTTTATGGTATTCTTAATATTTGCCTGCAACTCTCTGGTACTTTCTATCTTTTGGGCATACCCATTTCACAGATCCAAAGAGTCTTTCCAAATCTTCAGTGCTTTCATCAGTCCGTTAAGGGAAAACTGTAGGCACTGTAAAGCATCAAAAAGCCTTAAGAGATTCACAATCAACCCACCCGTGTCCAATCTCCATCCCATTTCCTACAATGGCACCTACCCCAGTGTTGTCATGGTGACGATGGTGTACCAGAAGGCCGCAGGGATGCTGGTGAACTTGCTTGCTGATGACCCCTTCTCTGCGTAAAACATAACCGTAGCAAAGATGATGATAGCCATAGTGAGAGAGAAGAGCAGGAAGCCCAATTCCGACGCACAGCTCTTCAGGGTGTACCCCAGGATGCGCAGGCCTTGAGAGTGGCGGGAAAATTTAAAGATCCTGAAGACTCGAAAGACTCGGAGTGTGACAAAGGCTCCACTGACGTCCTCATTGTCTGTCATGACCAGCCCAATGTAATAGGGCAGGATGGCCACAACATCGATGATACTCATGACACTGCGCACAAAACGGTAACGGCTGGGTGCGGCGGCTAGGCGGAGCAAGTACTCAACAGTGAAGATCATGACACAGGCGGTGTCCAAGCAGAAGAAGGCCACTGCATACCGCTCCCCGCAAGGCAGTTCTTTTATGTGGCCAGGGCTGGACCCACATGGAACTGTTTCCACCACATTTGCGATGACTGAGACGGCAATGAAGAACCCAGTCACATAGTAGAACACCAGGGCCATGGTGCTGGTGTGAGGGTTCTCAAAGGCCCGCCACACCCTCTGCCTAGCAGTCATGGTGGGCAGGGCACTCTCTCCTGTGTTGTCAGTGTCCGCATCATCCTGCAGGCGCTCTGCGTTCTCCCGCCTGCGGTCCTTGTACTCCTCATAACAGCAGTCGCCAATAATTTCTGGGATGAGGCCAAAGAAGGCCAATTCTTCATCATAAGCAGAGATGCACTCATGGCGTGGATAGTGAAGCTTCCCTGTGCGGTAGAAATTGAGGATGTGGCGGAAGATGTCTGGGTCACGGTCAAAGAAATACTGTTGGGTCTCTGGGTGGTAGAAAAAGTCTCTCTCAGAACTGCCCAGGAGAGTGTCTGGGTACCGTTCCAGGGTGTCCTGCCATGTCTGGAAGCGGGTGCCACTCACGTTCAGCACAATTAGAGCATCCTGAGTCCTCTTTCTCTCCTGCCTTGGGGGAGCTGGCATAGGCCCGGAGGCAACAGGCATCCACCCAATGGCTGCTGCCCTGGCAAAGGGCAGCCATGCTGCAACACCAGCCGCCATGTTGCCTGGAAGTGTGGGTCACAACAGTGATCACTGTCACCCAAAGTCACACAGTGAAAGTAACACAATGCCCCACTTCTTCAAGTCAAGCAAAACACTGGGGAACACTGTTCACAGGAACACTGTTATTCCAAGGTGCAGGTGAAGTCACAGTTCTCAGAAGGCCAAGTTTCCCTCAGACAAGCATTTGGAATACTAAGAACAAAAAAATGCAGTGACCTAAAAATCTCTCTCCATAGAACCTAAACAAATCTCTGCCAACAGTTGGACCAGGGCCCCTCCTGGCACATGTAAGCACTCAAGTGCCTTCGGAGACAGCAGTTTCTTCAAACAGGTGTCTTCCCCTCTCCCCTGACACAGTCTGGTTGATATGGGGTCAATATATAGAGCAAGTAGAGAGGAAAACAGGAGTCACCCAGTGGTCGTCTCTGAAAAGAAAGAACCTTTTCACCTTCCCCTTTCGCTGAAGTAGTCCTTCCCGCCAAAGGCGTCTCAAAAAAGACGACCTGTTGTTGTAGCTCCAGAGATGCGGTCACAGCCACTGTCCCGCGTCCCTGGGAGTCCGCTGGCCGCCTCTACTCCCGAGGCGCTAGCAGAGATGGAGATGAAGGGTCGGGCTCGCGGCGGGGGGCGTCGGTCTAGAGCTCCTTCTCGCCCACGTCCACAGTCACCCTCTGAGCCAGCCAAGAGCGTTCGCCCTATGGCCCCTTCACTCTCTGCTCAAGTTCAGCTCAGGTGCAGCGTGACAGTTATAGAGCCCCGGAGCTGGCAGCCGCCGCCACGGTGGCGGCAGCAGCATCTGCCTCCGCGCAGAATGCGCCTCGCCCGCGGTACATACCTGGCAAAGTGCGCGCCGGGGCTGAGTTGCATAGAGACTTTGCCGTCGCCTTGCACCCGGAAAAGGAAAAGGGAGAGCCAGCGGCTCCCGAGCAGCCGGATCCCAGGCGCCCAGGGAGCATAAATAAAGCTCTGGCGAGCTCTCCGTCCCCTTCCCCCAACCCTCCGTGCCTCCCTCCTCCTTGTCACCTTCCCAAAAGCCAGGCGCAGGCGAGCAGAGCCAACAGCAACAAGTTCAAAAAGGTGCGGGGGAGGCGAGCCGCCCAGGCCACTCGCTCCTGCCAACTTACTGCGCGGCCGGTGTCCCCGGGGTCGCGGCGCTGCGGGGCTGCGGGGTGCCGGGACTGCGGGGCTGTCGGGCTGCGGGGCAGGCGGCTGCGGCGGCGGTGGCAGCTGCGTGGGGCCGGGGCCGAGGTGCGAGCGGGCTGGCGTCCGGGCGCGGAGGCAGGAGGCGCTCGGCGGCGCGGGGGCGCGAGAGGGCTGCTCGCTGCTTCCCCGCCAGTGGGTGGTCCCTCATCTCCCCCAGGCTCCGCGCGCTGCTCTGCCCGTGCGATCGATAAATAAGCAGGGAAGAGAGCGAGAGCCGCACGCACGCCCCGCCACGCAGGTTAGGCAAAGGCAAAGGCAAAGGCGTCTCCTGCCTTTCCCTCGCCTTGACCTTTCTCCGCCCCCGCCCCCCCTGGGCTCCTCTCGCTCCACCCTAGCCACCCACCAACCAAGGCACCAAATGTCACCAAGGGACTCGAGCATCCAGGTGGTTCGGCCCCAGGGATGAGCGAGCCTCCGGATGAACAAAGAGAAGCTTCAAGGCTCTTGGCAGCTGCTGTTTGGTGGAGGAGAGGAGGAAGGGGACCGGTGGCTTAGTGCTGCCTCCGGAGGAGCCCCGGTTCCAGATGAGCATGGGAAAGAGGGGAAAAAAAAATTCGAGAAAAGCTGGGAAGGAGGGTGAGCGGAGCGGAACGCAAAGGAATTGGTTGTCTTCTGGGGGCGAGTGGGTCGCAAAACCTGCAAAGCTCCGCGGCAGAATTTTTAAGTGATTCCTCTCTTTCTTTCATTTTTTTAGAAATGTATTTTTGTTCAAAACAGATGTTAACGTTACTGAGGTTAATATATTACCTACCCAACTTGCTGAAAAAGTCAGACAAGTCTCCTTGGCTAGGTCTTGCCACAACTCCTTTCCCCTGTCCTTTGCAAATGACTGGAGAATTTAGACCCTTTTTTAAATGTCAGAGTGCAGGGGCGTGCGTCTGTGAGAGTGTCTTTTCATGCTCTTTGCGCATCCCTGCGCATATCTAAAATGGCCAAAGGAGGAAAAGGTGTCCGGGTGAAGGGTGAGTGATGTGAGGAGAGACAGGAAAATTGTAGTGGCCAACCGATTTTGGTCTTCATGTACCCCGCCCCCAGTCATTAGGTGTCTTCCTTAAAACCAAGGTTTTGACATCCATAGCCACTAGATGGCGTGAGTGGCGAGAAGTTAAATCTGCATCTAGGGTAGTTGCTTTAGAAAGGCAAAGGATAAGAAAAATCTACTGATTCAACGGAGAATCCGATCACATAAGCACCCTTAAACTCTCTACCACCCATCTTTTTAGTGTTCATATGGGACCTACTATTCAGACTTCAGACTGCATTTTGATGGATATGGAATATTATGTAGAGAAGGTCCTGTTTAAAATTGTCTCTAAAAATTAAATCTGAAGTAGCATTATCAGCAAAATCATTAAGATCGTTGGAAAAGCGAGGTTCACGTTGACTCATTAGGAAGACCAGCTTTACTTCGGCATAAAAATTGCTGTTCAGGGCTTTGTTTGCTTGTCCTTGGTTTGGGAAGTAAGTGGATTGTAATGCGCTGTAAAGAGAGTGACTTCCAAGAGATCATAGGCATTATGTGCCAACTTGAAATGGAACCTATGAGCTTAAGGTTTAGAAAATCGTCAGATAATGAGATTAAGCAGCCCCTATAGTCTGTGGGATTGTCTGTCAAGACAGATAGTTTGTTGTGTTTGCTTGTATGTGGAGGTTTAGGGATTCCAGTGCAAGTAGATAGTGCAGCTGCAGCTAATGTAACATAGAAGTTTAAACACGTGCTATGTATTTGTTTGTGTTAGCTGAGTGAAGGATGCTTGCAAAGCTGAAAACTATAAAATAGAAAGGAGGGAGCGGTTGTCTGACAGTTGTTATTAAAAAAAAAGGAGAACCTAATAAAAAGATGTCATCATGCCAACACAAAGGCATGGCATTTAAGTAAGAGACGTGAGTGCTAAATACCAATAATACACGCTACCCTGTAAAGATGGGACAAGCAAGTGAAACAGACAATTTACCCTTTCCTTGTGGGAGAAAAAACACAAATATAAAGCAACATTAACTGCATGGAAGCCTTAGATAATGCAACTTTCACAATTTAGGAGGGAATTGTGATCTGCCCTCCTCAAGTGCTTCTCACAGTACAGAGAGAGCTTTAGAATTAAAAACATCTAGATTCAAATTCCTGCCTAGGAAGTGACTTCCTAGTTTCATTTAACAAACTGCTTAACTTCTATGAATAAAAATGGTAGATAAGGAAACAAAACATTTAGAGGTGATATTTAAAGGTAATATTTCCAAACTCCAATGTGTTTAAGGTATTCCTTAGAACATGGGAATTAGCTCTTTTATTACTTAAATGCTGGTGCAATTCATGCTCTCTGTCTTGTGCTTAGAATTCTCCCAAAGACATCATACTTACTACGGTCCCCAAATAAAGCCTGCCTCCATCTCCCAACAGGCAAATGCCTGATATTTTTGTTGTCATTCATTCATTCATAGAAGTGTGTGGAGATTACATGTCAAACACCCAACAGAGTGCTTGTATTTTCTTTCCTAGTCCAAAGATGCCGGTTCATCCTTGTGGTCTTCCCACCCTTGTATACTGTATGGTACCGATTAAGTGGGAGGCAAAGAGACAAACTCAGCCACACAATACTGAATTCATCACCATAGTCTTCAAACCACATCAGCTTCTGTTTTCCGCTCCTGACAAGTGAAGACCAGAAAAACCTGCATCACCTGTCCTCGCAGACTCTCAGGGACCCAGTAAGTCTGAATATTCCATACTCACTACAATTCCTCCTTACATGGCACTTAGAGAGTTTTAAAAAAAGCTATTTTAAGAGTTGTAAGGAATAATATAGCTCTTCAGGGTATCACCTACTTCCCCTAAAGGTATCATGTCACATCCTACAAAATCACAGTCAAAAAGATAACATTTATACCCTGACATGATTGGAACAGCCACACAAACATGTCACAAGAGGGAGGTTTATGAAAACATATATCTATTGCTCACAGTTCTGGAAGCTGGAAATCCATGGTCAAGTAACGAGCAGTATATTGGTATTTATTTGGTGAGGAATTGCTTTCTGATTAAGAGATGGGTCCTCCAAACTGTGTCTCACATGTTACAAAAAGAAGACCGGCCTACTACTACTGCAACTACTACTGCTGCTGCTACTACTACTACTACTACTACTACTACTACTACTACTACTACTCACACACACACACACACACACACACACACACACCAATACTAACATTGAAATGTCTGATCTAATCATTACTTTCATGATGCCGTGGCCTCCCAAAGGTCCCATATACTATTGCTATTTCACTGGAGAGCACATTTCAACATGAATTTAGAGACCACAAACTTTTTCAGTATAGATGGTGTAATCTCCTGATGGTATTCAAATTCACTCATTTTACAAATGCTAACTTTTGTCCTTACACTTAGTTACAGATTTTGTTAGTGTTTATTGTCCCCCATCATAATAGAGATGATACATATTACAATAACAAAGATTCCTTTTTATGACTATAACATAGTGTCACACCCTATAACTCTTGTCATCCATCCACTAATCTGTTCTCTACTATTTATGACTTTGAGAATGTTATCCTAAAATGGCTCCTGAAGTATATAAATTTTTAAGATTGTCCAATGTGAGAAAATTTAAGATTGCTAAAGAAACTTGAATCTTCTGGTCATGTAGGACACAGAGCTAAAGTGTGTGAGCACTGGTTGTCTGAGCACAAAATCATAATGGGTACCTATCAATCCTCCTGAATTTTTGTAATTTTACACTCATCTATTTCAGTCAAATCTCCACTTACCCTGCTGCACCGTCTCATCCTCACTTTACAATGGGTAGCCATACACAAACAAATTGAACTCTAATTCAGTTAATCCTAAAATATCCCCTTACTATCGTAGTATATTAATGATTCAGATACAATCATCCTATATTAACTACTGTCTACCCTGGCTTTTTATTTGGATTTCATCATGGTTTTATTTTTAATTTTTCTAATGACAAATTTAATTGTAGATTTTTTATTTTAATTTTTTATTAATTTTACATACCAACCAAAGTTCCCCCTCCTTTCCCTCCTCCTGTACCCTTCCACTTTCCCCGCAACCCACCTACTCCCATCCACTCCTTAGAAGGAGTAAGGCCTCCCTTGGGGAGTCAAGAAAGTTGATGCAGGAACAAGACCCTCCTCCCTGCATCAAGGCTGAGCAAAGCAACCAACCACAGGAAATGGGTTCCAAAAAGCCAGCTCATGCACCAAGGGAAGATCCTAGTCTTATTGCCAGGAGCCCCTCAAACAGACCAAGCTACACAACTGTCACCCCTATGCAGACAGGCTAGTTAGGTACCATGCAGGTTACCCAGACATCCATCTAGAGTCCTTGAGCTCTTGGGACCTCAAGTCATCTGTCTCTGTGGGTTTCCTTATCATGATCTTGACCCACCTTGTTTATATAATCACCCCTCCCTCTCTTCCACTGAATTCCTGAAGCTCGGCCTGGTGCTTGGCTATGGATCTCTGCGTTTGCTTCCATCAGTTACTGGATGAAGGTTCTATGATGACAGTTCTAGTGGTGTTTGCCATCTGTACGTATTCTTCCGTAAAGTGTGTATGACTGACTTCCGTAAAGTGTAAAAGTCTGTTTTTAATATGATTGGTCTTTAATGTTTGCTTTCAGGACTGTGTATATATTCTGAAAAGATTTCCTGGATCATTTATGTTGTTTTCAAATGTTTTTTGTGTAACTTGTTTTGAATATTTTTCATCAGTCTATTGTAATGCAAAGATTTTAATTTTGATGACAGTTTATCAATTTTCTCCTTTTGTTGGTTTCAAGTAAAAACTATAATTGCTAAATATTTTCTTTAAAAACTTTATATTTTACATTATCAAACTATTGTCTATTTTGAGTTAAATAGACATAATATATGTTTTATTCTTCTGTTTTTTCACTTCTGTTTTTTAAATCTTAAACCAGTTAATATGGAGTTTTACCTTTTATTGAAATGGATGGTCTTCCCCTATTGATATGTTTTTGCACCTTTGTCAGATCTGTGTTGAATTATTGTGTGCATCTGTTTCTGGTTTTCTATCCTATTCCTTTGATTGCTGTGTCTGTAACAATCACTAACATTACCCCTCCCCCTTTTGATTCTTGTAGTTGTACAGTAACTCCATACCAGGTGAAAAAATTCATTCTGCTTTATAATTTATTTTCTCCAAATTGTTTTAGCTATTGTATGTCCTTCCTTTCCATATAAATTTTGTGATAAACTTGTCTGCATGTGTAGAAAAAGATTATGATTTTAACAGGTATTATATTGCATCTATAAATCAACTTGGGAAGCATTGACAGGTTTCCTACATTGAGTGTCTCTCCATGTATTTTGCTTTTTTATTGTTTTCATCAGCACTTTGTAATTTTCAAGATACAGATATTGTACATGTTTTTATTAGGTTTATGCCTAAATTGTGTTTCCTGTGGAGAAATTTTAGTCTTTTATATTTTCCTTTTCATATAGCCATTCTTCATGCATAGAAGTCTGATGAATTTTTCCTTATCGATTCTGTGCCTTGAAATTTTGTTGAACTACATTGTTCTCGATTTTTCTTTAAATACAATCATGGCATTTGCAAATAGAATCTGTTATTTATTTCTTCGCAACCTTCATAAATTTTGTATAGGATATGGCTCATATTGAATCTAAATGATGCCAGAACTACTCTCCATAGTGTTCTATTTGTTCAGAGATTAGTCCTTAGAAATGAAGATGAAGATACTCAGAATCTCAACTTCTTCTATCCTACAAACTCCATGTCTTTCTACTTTGACTTTAGTCTGCTACCATCTTACTCAGATAAGTCTAGCTTGCAGAAGTTAGAGTTTGTTTTGTCCTCATCAGGGAATGGTCCATGTTTCTCTTTTCCTCAGTTAAGTCATGGGGAAAATCATATAACCTCTTCAAAAAAGTCCAGTTTATGTATTTCAGAAGAAATCCTAATAGATGTGATTTGTTTGTGACCCTCCACCTCCTAAGAAATTCAAACAATGCAAAATGATTTTAGTATTTACTTTGCTGTTGCTGTGGTAAAATACAGCAAATATAAACAACTTATAAAAGAGTTTAATTTGGATTCTGTTTCCAGAGGAGAAATCATAATGCTTAAAAGAGCAAGGCAGTGTGCCTGGGACTGAGAAGTTGGCTGATCACGTCTCAACTCCACACAGGATGCAGAGGGAAGAAATTTAAAGGAGGGGGACACTGTAAAACACTCAAAGCCCACCTCCAGTTTTGTGTTTCTTGCAGCTAGACTGTACAACATAAGGGTTCTATAACAACCACACACACACACACACACACACAGTAGTACCACCAACAGGCACCAAATGTTCAAACATAGGAGCATATAGAGGACATTTTTCATCCAAATCACCATAATGAACAAAACTTCTCACAGTAATTGAAAGAATATGTCTCGCATCCTTCCAATCTTATTGTTAAAAGGTAACAGTATTTTATCCTTTCAGTTGCTGAATAGTGTTCATTGTGTATTTATACAATATTTTCTTCAGCCATTCATTTATATATTGAAAACAACTGCTGCTGTAAACATGGGAATGCAAGTTTTTCTTCAGCAGACTTACTTCAGTTTCTCTGGTTAAACCCCCAGGAGTGGGGATGTTACAGCCATATGGCAGTTCTGTTTCTTCATTTTTAGTAATATTTATATGATGTTTTATATTGATGTCACCTAGGAATGGAACCTTTGGGAATACCTCTGAGGAATTTTCTTAATTAGGTTAATTGATGTGGAAAGACCCACCCCAAATGCAGGTGGCACCGTTTCAAGGACTTGGTCCTGAACTAAATTAAAAAGAGAAAGTTTGTGAGTATTAGCAATTTTTACTCTCTGCCTCCTGAACACCAATGCAATGTGACTAGCCAGTCTCTTGCTCCCAACATCTTGCCTCTATCTCCTTGGCCTGAAACCATGATCCTCTCAAACTATTAGCTTGAATGGACCCTTTCTTTCCTTCAGTTGCTTCTTCATACATATTTTCTTACAGCAAGAAGAAAAGTGGCTGGTCAATTCTATAGCCTTTGCTCTAATAGCTGATTTATTTTACATCCTCTCTTAGCGTGTGAGGATGCTGCTTACTGCACAACCTAGCCGATTTCATCCTGTGCTTTTGAATATATCCTAAATGCAGTGCAGTTCAATACTGTTGTAGTTTTGTTGTACATTTCTCTGATATGTTTTTTTTCACATACTTGATTTGAGAAATGTCTATTCAGTTAAATGTCCATTTGTATTGGATTTTTCTTTCTGTTGTTTGAATTCTGTGTGTATTCTGGACACCAATCCTTTGTTTAACAAAAAAGTTCTCAAACTTTTCCCTTGCTCTGTAGTATATACACTGCAAATTTATTCATTGTTTATTAAAACACGGTAGCTGGCACTATGTCTTGGTGGGTGAAGCACTTGCCGCACAAGTGTAGAGACCTGTATTCAAATGATCAGAACTCACGTAAATCCATGGCAGTGCCCGTCTGCAATCCTGTTACTCCTGCAATGAGATAAGAGATGGAACATCCACAAGCACACATTACATCTAGCCTTCTGCATCCCACTGTGAGCAGCAAGACACCATGTCTCAAACAAGGTGGGAGGTGAGGACCAACGCCAGTCTTTGTTCTGACCTCTCCACAAGTGCTGTGGTTTATACACACTACACTTGCATACAGTAACATGCATGCACACACATACCCTCATAATCATGCACACACAAAAAAACCCGATTTTTAAAAGCAGTCTATCCATTCACATTATTTGCTAAAAGTTAGAATGTCCTATATTTCCACTATTCAAACATACTTTTATTTAGGGAGTTTTATTACATTCTAGATTAGCACACAAAGTACTGAGTTTCCTTCAATCTTCCCTCAAGCTCAATTCTTTTATTTTACCCAGGAATAAAGTTTGGCACACTGATAAGATAAAGGAGACATATGAATGACACATCATTGTTAAGGCTGGTTAAATGCTTAAAACATTGATATTTCAAAACCTCTAGCATACAGTCACTGTGGCAAGTGCCATGACCTGTATCTCCCTTTGGGGCACCATTAAAAGGATAAGCTGACAACTTGAACTTGATTTATTTTATTCCTTTGGCTACTCTCAAAGTTCTTTCCAGGTTTTAAACATTGAATAATGCCAATTTAAAAACAGTTTCCATAAATTCATTTATTTCATATGTAGACTATTCTTAGCGATATTTTACATAGTTCTTATAGTCATGCTGTTTAGAAGTCTCTAGCCTGCTCCTCAACCTGAGCTCACATAACCGAATTTTGAAGTCACAACTTTGGCCACAAATAAAAAGGCTTTTTGAATGGTAGATGACTGAAATGCTATTCACATTGAAATGTGCAGTGAATCTGAATTGTTTCTTTAAACATCTGCCAATGTTACATTGCGCAGCTTAATTGCTAGCCTTGGTTCCCATACTCTTCTACCATCATTCCTTAGCATGTATCAAATTAGTATACTCTGTTTCTTTCTGATATATTAATAAAAGTATGCTTCATATTTATATATATTATATACCTTAGATTGCATAAATACCAGATATAAAAGTTTAAACCATGCTTCAGAAGGCTAACAACTTTTTTTAAACGCAGAATCAGAGCAGAATCATTGCCTGATTTCTTTCTTGTAAGAGTTCAAAATCACTACTCCATGTCCTAACACACTGAACTGTATACACTAAACACATGAAATTCTTCATTATCCAATATAAACATGATTTTGTTATAAACATATTATACGCCTCATGCACTTTGGTGTTTTTTTACATATGACCTAGGAAAAGAGAAGAAAAAAAGGGAAAAATAGAAGGGAAAAGTCAGTTGTTGACACATTGTTTTTATCAATCATTCATGACAAGTTGACCATTAGATGCACCAGTATCCTAGTTACTGAAATTCAATCTATCTTAATTGAGCTAGCTAATGAGAGAAAGAATAACAGATTTGGAGAGAATAGAACTCTGCTTTAGCCCAAATTAATATTATTTGTGCATTTTACTTTAGAATCTTACGTGTTTTCTATCTGAACTTGTGTTTGTTAGAGATGAGGAAGAAGAGAAGAATGAGAAAACTATAAATGCCCCTCTAAAGATCTGTATTATAGCCTTGGGAATAATTGCTATGGAGTCATTCTAGTGCCATAAGAATTGAGTACCTAGGGGAAGGGGGCAGACAGAATGCTGAGAAGCACAGTTCTTTTATCTTAACTAGAAAAGAACACATTCTTACTAGTGTCATGTGCAGCATGGTACAAGATGAACTGAGTCAAATAGTTTGTAGGACATTCACAACCTTGAAGAGGTCTTACAAGGACAAGAATTTTTCATCTGAGTATCTGTGTTCTGCTAGAAACTTTCCAATCTGATTTACTTTATATATTATTTGATATACTCAGACAAGTCATTCTTTGCATGAAGTATACTTGCTTCATTATTATTTTTTTGTAAAATCATGTGGTTACTTTTAATATATAACTCTAAGTAGAACTTTTAAAAAAGCAGAAAAATGCAATACTCAAAAAATTGATAAATAGAAACAAATCCTGTATTATCTCAGTTTATAAATTGATAGTATATGAATGTTGTTTTTTATTAAGCCTGTGTTAGGTTTCAATTTTAATGAAGAATATCAGTTATTTAATAGATGTCTATTAAGCAGGTTTTCCATTTACAGTTGTTCCAGTCACTCAGGAAAATACTAATTGAGGGAATTTATTAATATTTGTTCTTCTAAGTGTATGAATTCTCCTTCTTCCTCATTGTGTGAAACCCATGTGGTGATAGTCCTCCCACTGACCTTAACAGGATTTTGGTGATAAGAATTCAAGTAGCATCCAGTTTTGAATACTTATTAAGGAATTGCCTTTGATGATCTTACTCTAATTTTCAATATTTTTGATACATTGCTTTCTCTTTAGAAAGTGTAACTACACCATGTCTCTCTTCCTTTTCCTGCCTCCAACCCTTTCCATGCAAACACTACCTTTCCTTCTCTCAATTTCATGATCTCTATTTCTGTGAACACATCGCATATCACACACACACACACATACACACACACAAAACACACATGTATATATTTCTAAATGTATGAATATAATCATATACTGTGTCCAATATGTATAATGTTACTGGCTTCAGGTCTGACCACTTGGTTTGAATAAGCAGTATTTTTACATGGATTAATTGTATTCTGAATACAGTCATCTGTAACCTTTCTGTGTTAACAAGGCTTTGCATTATTAGTAGTGAAATGAGGCATAAATAATTGAATAAATATCTTTAAATTTTAAAAACTTTACTGTATGAATATAAAAATGTTCTAAGATTTAAAAGAGAAATAGGAGCAACATTGATGTAAGATGGTGATACTATAGACTATCTCCAATAAAGCTGGTATGGACATAGTTGAGCAAGTGTCCTCATGGTATTATTGAGCATCCATTGGGTATGTGTCTAAGAATGGTATCACTAAGTCTTCAGGTAGATTTTCTGGAAAACCACCATCCTGATTTCCAAAGTTTGCACTCCCACCAGCAATGGAGGAGTATTCCTCTTGCTCCACATCCTCTCCAGCAAAAGCTGTCATTTGTGTTTTTGATCTTAGTCATTCTGATAGGTGTAAAATGTAACCTTAGTCGTTTGCCTTTCTCTGATGGCTAACAATGTTGAACATTCTTTTAAGTGTTACTCTGCCATTTGAGATTCTTCTGTTGAGAATTCTGTTTAAGTATGTACCCTCCTTTTTTATCCCTAGATTTTTAAATTTAGAAACAATCTTATTTTACATGTCAATCCCAGTTCCCTCTCCCTCCTATCCTCCCATACCCCCTACCAACCACTATCCCATCCCCCTTCAGCTCCTCAAAGAGAGTGAGGGCTTCCATGGGAGACAATCAAAGTCTGTCACATCATTTTGGACAGAGTCTAGACCCTTCTCCATCTGTCTAGTCTGAGGGAGTATCCCTCTTTGGGGAATGGACTCCCAATGTCCATTCATACATTAGGGATACATACTGTTCCAATATCAGAAGTCCCATAGAATGTCCAGGCCTTCTATGTGACACCTAAATTCAGGGGGCCTGGTTCAGTCCTATGCTGAGCTCCCCCTCCTTCAGGTCAGCTGTTTCTGTGGGTTTCCTCAGTCTGGTCTTGACCCCTGGATTCCAAGAGTACGGCTCAGTGTTTAGCTGTGGATGTCTGCTTCTGCTTCTATCAGCAGTGGATGAAGGCATATAAGGTAGTTATCAATCCCATTATTGGGGAAGGACATTTAAGGTAGTCTTTCCACTGTTGCTTAGATTCTTGGTTGGGGGTCATCCTTGTAGATCCATGAAAATTTCCCTAGTGTTAGATTTCTCTTTATACAAAAAGTGGCTCCTTATATTAAGGTATCTCCTTTCTTGCTCTCCTGTATTCTTCCCTCTTTAATTGGATTATTTGGGTTAATGATGTCTAGTTTCTTGAGTTCTTCATATAATTTGGAGATCAGCCCTCTCTTGGATGTGGGGTTATTGAGGGTCATTTCCCATTCTGTAGGTTGTCATTTTGTCCTGTTGATAGTGTCTTTTGCCTTATGCTTTTCAGCTTCATGAGGTCCATTTATCAATTGTCAATCTTAGTGGCTGCACTGGGTTTCTGTCTTTTATATACCTTTCTAGGCCTGGGATTATAGGCATGAGCTTTAATTCCCTTTTATACTGATTCAATCTTGTGTAGTGTAGATCTGGGTAGCCTTACATTCACAGAGAGATCCGTCTACCCATGTTCCCTGACTCCTGTGATTAAAAGTGTGTGCCACCATGTCCCAGCTTCTATTGCTAACTAGTGTGGCTTCTGGGATTAGAGGTACATAGAGCTTGTGGCTGACTTTGCATTTTGATCCTTGGTGGCTTCTTTAAATCATAAGCATTATATCAGCACATAGAAGTATGGAAATTTCCCAAGACCAACTACTTGGTGAAAGCTAATATGCAGATTTGCAAAGACAGTTTAGATTTGATGATCACACCTTGGTGCTTTGTCTTATAGTATCTTTGCATGCTTCGGACAGGGTTGAAGAATCAGGAGAAATGACTGAATCATTTACAAAAATTATACAAGGCTGAAAAGAAGCCTTCAATGATTTTTTACAAAGATTGACTTTAAACTGTAAAGAGAATGATATCAGATCAGTAAGTTAGACAAATATTAATTAAATCTTTGCTTTTGAAAATGATAATTCAGAATGCAAAAGGGTGATTAGGCCATTAAAGACAAGATCAGCACAAATAGATGAATCAACTAGAAATGCAGTTAATATTTATCTTTGGCATATTATGCTGCTTTGATGGGAGAAATAATATCTAAAATCTTTAGAAAAATTAAAATGTCAGATGGTTTAATTTGAAAAACAAGGTCATTTGAAAAGGGATTGTAAAAGAGACATTCCTAAAAACAATGTTTTTTTTTTTTCTAGAGAGAATCTAAACAGAAGGCCCAAGTCATCCGGACTATGCAGAATGTGTGGTAAAGGTTGCCATTGAGCTAATGAATGCAGAACCAAAAGGGACATGTAAGGTAACCCTATGACATTGAGAAGCACCTTAGAGAGTCTCTGGGAGGTCCCAAAGTTAAATTTGGTTCAGTCATCCCCATCAGCATTGGGTGTATCCAGAAACTTCTTGTTCCACCTGCCAGTTCCCAAATAACCCATCTAAGACTTAATATTGATTACAATAGCTTGGCCAATTGCTCAGGCATATCACTGGCTACCTCTCACAATTAAATTAACCTTCCTATTGTTTTTATATTATACCATGAGGCTTTTGGCCTGTTACCTCATTCTGCCTTCTCTTTCTCCATAACTGTGTTTGGATTATAGACAAGCTCTTGGTGATAGAAAGAATATAATAAAGCAGTACAGAAAACAGATGCTAAACATACAGGCTGTACTAAAACAGGATGCTAGTGCCAAACCTACAGAGCAACCAAAACTCTACCCTTAAAATGGCTAACAGATAAACCTGTCTGAGTAGGACAATGGCCTATGACATCTGAGAAGTTAGAGGCTTTGGAGAAGTTAGTTCAGGAACAGCTAGATGCTGGACATATCGAGGAATCAACTAGTGCATGGAATTAACCTGTTTTTGTTATCAAGAAGAAGCCTGGTAAGTGGAGAATGGTTACTGATCTTAGAGTCATCAACAAGGTCATTCAGCCTATGGGGTCTCTACAACCTAGGATGCTGCTACCTTCTCTAATACCTAAGTATTGGCCAATTATAGTTACAGATTTAAAAGACTGCTTATTCACTATACCATTACAAGAAAACGACAGAGAAAAGTTCACCTTCACAGTACCTACCAATAATAATTCCTGACTGGTACAAAGATTCCAGTGGAAGGTGCTGCATCAAGGTATGTTAAATAGCCGAACATTGTGTCAATATTTTGTGCATAAACCTCTAGAAATAATCAATAAACAATTTCCACATTCGTTAATATATTATTATATGAATGATATATTACTGTCTGATTCAAATAAGGATACTTTGGAAAAGGTGTTTGAAGCAGTAAAGGAAACTTTGCCTCGCTGGGGATTACAAATCGCTCCAGAAAAAAAACACAAAGAGGAGATTATATTAATTGTTTAGGTTATAAAATAGACTCTCAGAAAATCAGACCACAGAAAGTACAGATCAGAAGAGATCGTTACCAGACTCTTAATGATCTTCAAAAACTATCAGGGGAAATCTCTCAATTACAGACAATTATCGGTGTAGAAGGGCATGATTTAAAACACCTGAAAATGGCTTTAAAAGGAGATAGAGACTGAAATAGCTCACGATTACTATCAGCTGAGGCTGAAAAGTAATTAGAATTGGTAGAAAAGAGAATATTAGAAGCACATGTGGACCGTGTGGATCCAAAACTGGACTGTATTCTGGTTATTTTACCATCTAGAGAATAACCCTCAGGAATTTTAATGCAGAGGGAAGACATCATCATACTAGAATGGGTATTTCTGCCACATAAACAAAATAAAAAACTGAAAACATATATAGAAAAGCTCTCAGATTTGATATTGAAAGGTAAGTTAAGGTTTCATCAACTGACTGGGAAAGACCTAGCTGAAATTATTGTACCTTTGACTAATGAGGAAATTTCCTCCTTATGGAAGGATAATGAGTATTGTCAAATAGCTTGCAGTGACTTTTTGGGAACAACTATCCCAAAAGAGAGAGAATCAAATTCATAAAGAAAACAATTTGGATTCTTCCATGTATTGTGAGACAAACACCTATTTCTGGAGTTCTTACCTTCTACGCGGATGCAAACAAATCAAGTAAGGCAGGATATCAATGTGAAATATAAGGAAAGTAGTTCAAAGACCTTACGACTATGTACAAAAGGGAGAGTTATATGCCATTCTCATGGTACTTAAAGACTTTACAGAGCCTCTCAATATAGTCACAGATTCTTAGTATGCAGAGAGACTTGTCTTGCACATAGAGACTGCAGAATTTGTTCCTGATGGCACAGAATTAACCACATTGTTTTTACAATTACAGGAAACCATCAGAAACAGGACTCATCCTATATATATATATAACACACATCAGATCCCATACAGGTCTTCCAGGTCCTCTGGTGCATGGCAATGATGAAATTGATCATTTATTAATAGGTAATGTGTTGGAAGCTTCAGAATTTCATAAGAAACATCATGTTAACAGCAAAGGTTTAAAGAAGGGTTTTTGCATCACCTGGCAACAAGCCAAAGAAATAGTAAGAAATTGTCCCACTTGCTCATTCTACAATCAAACTCCACTACCATTAGGTTTTAATCCTAAAGATATTCAGAGAAATGAACTTTGGCAAATGGATGTATTTCACTTCCCAGAATTTGGCAGTTTGAAAATATGTACACCATACCATAGACATGTTCTCAGGCTTCCAATGGGCTACTGCCCTCAGCTCTGAAAAGGCTAATTCTGTTATTACACACCTCTTAGTGGTGATGGCTGTTATGAGTATACCTGTAAAAATAAAAACTGACAATGCTTCAGCATATGTCTCCAGTAAATTAGAACAATTTTTCAAATATTACAATATAAAACATGTAACTGGTATAGCATACAATCCCACAGGACAAGCAATGGTTGAAAGATCTAATGGAACCTTAAAAGACATGCTTCATAAACATCCAGGGGGAACAAAGACCCCCAACACAGGTTACATAATGCCTTACTAATACTGAATTTTCTTAATGCTAATGAAAAATGACAAACTGCATCAGAAAGACACTGGACTACAGAGAAGACTTCTGAACTGAACCAACGGGTGTATTTTAAGGATGTTATGACCTCTGTCCGGAAAACAGCATATGTCTTACTTTGGGGAAGGGGTTTTTGCTTTTGTTTCCACAGGAGAAGAAAAACTTTGGGTTCCATCGAAATTAATTAAGATTTGATCAGAATAGAAGACATCTCAGGAGGAGGAAAGATAACAGCTCATCCACAAAATCATATTCTACCATGGGTAAAGTGACCTCATAAAAGGAAAGATAAGTGTTTTGTTATTTGTCCTTACAGGCCTACTCAGCAAAGAATACTGAATGTATGGATTCCTGAAGAAGAATGAATAGCTACCCTGAGGACCATCAAACAAACAATAACTCACTGTGTGGTATCAAAGTCTAAGTCGTTCTATATTGGTTTTTATAATACCTATGTCTTTCTGTTTCTTAATATGCTTTAGTCCCCATTCATTTAACTGAAGCTGGCTTTGGAGTTGGATTGGCTCTGTTACTCTAAATTCAAGCGTATTATTTAAATAAAATTCAGAATTTCTGAGTTATATAAAAGAGCCATTGATATAAGACAGAAGAAAATAAAATTAGGGACTGTTATCTGTGGATTTCTTTTTCTGAAAAGTCTAATCTTCATGCTTACCATCTTCCCTATTGTCACATTTTCTAGTATCCTTACATATAAAAGTTAGAATATTTCTTTGTTAACATTAATGTTTGAGTTTTCCAGAGAACAAGGGTTTTTCTGGCAGGAATCTTTAACTGCTTCAGAAAGAGAATAAGGATCCACTGCCTTGACTCCACCTGATTCGACTGGAGGCATCTGAACTGCCCCATATGATTGACTCCACCTGACAAGCACTATCCTGAAACTGGCTTGAAATACATCACTCGACACAACTCTAGACCAAGGAACTGATACAGTGCACCTTCTACAATCTGGCCAGAGCTTCAGATGAGAGATTCAATCAACACTAGAACTCCAGTCAGGAACTTCAATCAAGCATCTCCTTCCAAAAAGAGACTGTCTAATCTACTTAATTATTACACTAACATTTTTCTTCTCACAGGTTCCCATGAGATTGTCATTGTCCCATCTCAGCAGGAAGTAGTTTTGAGAATTCCAAGCCCCCTTTCCCTACTATTGATATTATAGGATAGTTTATACCTGTTAGTGTTAGTTTTCAATTATTTTAGAGTTGGGACTGGAAGGAGGTGTTCAGACTTAGGCGTTTCTTTCAGATAAGCGTAGGTTTAGATGGGATAGATGTTTGAGACATTTTGTTCATTGACACATGTTTTGTTTTAAGTTAAAGCATCCTTTTTAGACTAAAAGGGGAATTGTAGGATGAAATTTAGTACTCCACCATTAGCCATGTGGCATATTAGAGGCACATACAGATGAGGTAATGAAAGGGTGGTTTACCACACCGCTAACCATACTCACTTTAGGTGTGACTAAAGACTTATATAGACATAGGCAGTGAACTACATCACTAGTCAAGCCCACTTTTGGGCATGGCTAGGGGCATGTACAGAGGAAGGAATAAAAGACTGAGCAGCAGAACCTCTTGCCCTCTTTTCGGCTACCAGTTCGGTGGTGGAAAAATACTCAGATCATCTGGGTTGCTTGTTTTTCTCTTGTAAGTAATTTCTACAACAAATACTTACCTATACTCTCAAAAGTGTGCCATTTGTCATTGCAGCATCAGTATACAGTTTCATTTTGTTAAAGTTAATATCTTTCCCTTTTGTTTAGACAATACCTGATAATTGTTCTTATTGTTTGTAGTTTTTCTATGGTAGAATCAAAAGCTTTCTTTTTTATTTAGACAAAAGGGAAAATATTGTAGGGGATTTATTTGTGTTGTTGTTCTGAGACCACCAAAGTAGTTGTAGAGCAGAGTCCCCATTCGGCTTGTTGGATTAGATCTTAGAGTTTTCTGGTTAACTACTAAAAAATTAAGGGACACTCAGGAGAAATAATGAGGGACCTAAAGAGATGTGTGTGGGGTTCATTGCAAGTTGTTACTGGTTATGGTCAAATAAAATAAACAAATGATGTTAATTCAGAGACCTCAATTTGAAAAAAGGGGGATATAAGAATGACAGAATAAAATTATACATTATTGAATTTACTTTTAAAATGAAAAGTACTTCTCTCAAATAGTTTGTATTGGTATGGATTTTTGTCTATTTATACAAATTTAAATTTATTTTTGTACAGCATAATGCATATGTTTCTACTCTTGTTTAAAGTATGATACCTATGCAGGTCACTTACAAATGTAATGTAAAATTCTTGTATTTGCAAGATACTATTAAAAACTGTTTAGGAGAATTAAGAAAGCAGGTGAGTAGTTAGTCATCAATAACATTCAAATTTGTAATCATCTTAGTTATATTTTCAATGCCAAAACAGAGATACATTTTGGATTGATAGATAGCCTTCAAACACTTAGGAGATCTACAGATTATGATATTTAACATATTTTAATAGCATAATGCTTTTCTTTTCAGCAACACATGTCTGCTCCTGGAAGCATCCATGTACTTTTTTTTTAAAAAGGGCGCTATGCATCTAACAAACTTCATATAGAGATTGC